ACTTCAGCAAAACGACAGCGACGACGACAACTTCTCTTAATTGCAGCTAGTTGTTATAGTTGTTGTTGTAATTGTTGTTGTTGCTATTATTATTGTTCTTGTTGTTGTAGTTGCTTTTGTTGTTGTTGTAATGATGGGCAAAGCCGCCAGGCAGCTTTTTGCTCAGCTACTTAATTTATTTGTCACCGAACCGAAGCGCAAATGAAGTTCGAAAAAGCAACATGCAAAGAGCAACAACAGCAACAACAAGAAGAACAACAATGTGTATGAAGGAATCGTTTGAAATTATACAAGATGATAATAAACATTATGTATAGGAAGAAGCAGCAGTAAAAAGTGGCAGTTGGAGTAGAAGAGGCAGCAGTAGCAGCAGCAGCAGTCGGCAAGACGGGCAAAAACGCTCAAGAAATAATTACAAATTAAAATGAAACACGAACGAAGGGGCAGCAAGGCGTAAGCAGCAGGAGGAGGAGGGGGGAAAGAAGGAGGTGCAGGAGTGTAGGGGAAAGGGCAGGGCAAACACTTTATAAATGTTTATAAAAATAGCTGCGACGCTGGCCACGCATGCGCAAAGATTTGTCATAATTGATAAACGACAACAGCTGCCACAGCAAAAGCAGAAGAAGCAGCCGCAGCAGCAGCAGCAACATTTGAGGCTACATATGCCACACATGACAAGTCCGTCAGTCAGTCAGTCAGTCAGTCAGTCAGTTAGCCAGACAGACACGACTTCGATGCAGTCCCGCCAGAGCCCAAGCTAATGCCAATGGCAATGACAGTGAAACGCCTCGACGGGCAGACAAATCGAAGCGTCGTTATTTGGACGCAGCCGTAAAGCCAGCAGAGGAAGTGGGTGTAACAAGTCATCAGGGGTGGTCGTTGACAGGGCTATAAGATGGCAGCAGGGCTGCAAATCGGTTTGAGCCCCGAATACTCCAATATTAACCATGAACCAAGCCTTAAGACGGTTAAGTTGGATAAAGAAGAGCTGACCTCTAGCATAATTTGTAATTGTACAAACTTTGAGAACCAACTGTTAAATCGAAGTCTGCGGTTCCTCGAAGTGGAAAACTGGGCTTGCGAACCATATCGAACCTTTATTTAGCTCAACCGAGAGCTTAGTCATAACATCTAGTGATTTGTACAAATATTAAGTAACTCTTAATAATTCATTGAACAATAATATTCGAATTCTGATATTCTAATAAATAAATTAAATAATACAAACTGTTGCCTGAGCTTGAGGTGCGCAAAGCTTGAAGCTCATGATTAAGCCCCAATGTGCTTTGAAAGCTGCACATATGTTTATTCCCGGCTTGAGTTAGCTTATAACTTTATAGTGTTACAACTACGATGACAATTTCAAACCCTTCAATGGCATTCATTCTAAACATTTGTATCTTCAAGCTTTCATGTGCTTTGCTGGACATACTATTAAGGCATCAATCTTATGTTGCTATTTAGATTCCTTTACTGTGACTCGTCTCTCGCTCTAAATTTGATTGCTTGATCTGTGGTCAATGATCTGTGCTCGAGCTACCCGTCTGGTTAGCTTCTGTTAATTCGTAGCGCACAGGTGACAAAGCTAACTCGAATGCTGACTGTGATTCCCGATTCCGACTCCCAACTCCAACTCCAAATGCAAGTCGGTCGACTGTGACAACGATGACGCCAAATTGGCAGCGCTTCTTTCCGAACGTGAGAACCAATTGCTATGTATGGTCATTACAAGCCGTCCACAGTTTTGTCCCAACTAACTGACGGGATTGCGTTGACCCAAGCCTGGGCTGTTGGCTCTGCCGCGGCTCATGGTGTTAGTTAGAGCGAGAGACAGGCCATAAATATTTTAATGATGATTACATTTTAAAAAGCGAGTGAGGAGAGCAGCAAAGGCCGAGGCGAAGGCGAACAAGCAGCATAAAATCGAATCACAGTACCGATCAAAGCTGGACTCCAGCCTGGGTGCTTGGGTGCCTGGACTGGGCCCTGATGAGCTACTACACAAGTACAACGCGACACTGACGACATTTTTGGAATTACATTGACAGGCCAAGTTGAAACTAAAAGCGATAATTATTGCCGGCTCAGGCTCAGGCTCAGGCTCTGACTCTGGCTCTGGCTCAGACGGATTCGGATCTTTCTCTCAGCCCAAAGTGTTGGCGATCGTGTCGCGTAAGCACAAAGAGCTGGAGCTGCAGGGCTGTGGAACTGTGGAACTCTGAAGCTTTGTGGAACTCTGCTGTGCCAGATCGCCGCAGCTGTTGCTGTTGCTGTTGTTGCTGATCGACGTTGCGGCGTCTTGCCAATGTAATTTCAATAATTTTATCTGGTGGTGCTCGCGCGCCAGCCGTGATTCGATTGGTAAGCGGTAAGCGGTCAGCGGTGACAGATCAAAGCCAACTTCTGCTGTTGCTCACCAGCCCCCACCTCCCGCTCTCTCTGCAACCCTCCTCTCTCGGAGCACAATTGAGCGTTGGGCGCGTCGGCAAAGATCACTGATCACCTGCTTGGGACAGTGGGACAGTTGGACAGTTGGACAGTTGGGCGGCGATTTGCCATTGCTTCTGCTCCAGATGTTTAGCTGCACTTTGGCGGCAACTGAGACGGCGATTGCTATCACACATACGCACACACTCTCTTGGTCACATTCAAAATGCAATCATCAACATCACAGTGAGCGTCATCAGACAATTCCCCAGCTCCTGCTGCGCCTCCCGCTTGATTGTCTCCGTTAAGGCTGCTCCTCGGAGCACTCTGCCAATTACTCGCCAGCATTGTTGACATGCCTTTTGCCATTTGCATCGTTTTCGTATTGATTTGTTTAAGTTCTGGCCAACAGCAGAGGCCAATCAGTGCAAATTTTGGCCCCCAAAAGCCCAAAAAAACAATTCAAACAAAAACAATATCAACAACAACAACAACAACAAAAACAAGAACAAAATTCACATTTTTCTCCCACGGGCAGCAGCGTGTGAATGAGAAAATCCATTCGACTCCACTCGAAGCGATTCGCTCGCAAGTTCAATGAGCTGATCGAGAAAATACGAGTATGTCAAAAATCTATCGAATCCGCCAAACGAACGACCGACGGGGACGGGTTTATTGGCTGATTGCCCGATTGCCCGATTGGTCGATTGCTCGATCGACTGACTGGTTGCATTCCGCGACGTCCTGTAGGTCAGTTATCGACCCAGTTTACGTGAGGATGTTCCCGCTGCTGTTTGGCTGGCATTTCCGAAAGCACGGCTTGTTCTTCGTTTTAGATTTTTATAAGTTCATCTAACATAATAGACTATCCCAGTTCGAAAACATCTTGTGTCGCATGTACTACCATTTTGTTATGTATAGTATTAAGATCTTATAAAGGCTAATTGTGTCTCATATGTCTCCTCTATTTCCACCAAAAAACTAAGGAAAATCAAATTTAATTTTAATAAGATTTCACAATTGCTTACTGAAATGTTTGAGCATAAAATAAAAACATAAAAACATATTAAGAAACCCAATCTTAACTCTATTAGACTTCACAAACTCTCGCTGAAACGACAAACGGGCCAGAGCAAACGAAAAAAATGTAAAATATTTTGTAATTAAATATATGAAGACTTTTAGATTCAATAACATTTTATTGAGATGCTTGGGCAAACAATTGTATACCTATTTGATTTGAGAAATTTTTGCAGTTCCAGTAAATCAGAAAAATAATAAAAAATGGATTTAACGAATTTACAAGTCGCAGCTAAAATGTTGAAGATAAACAGAAGAAAATAATGTTAAAATAATTTGGGTTTTCGAAATTTTCGAAAGAAATGTTTGAGCTTAAACGAGAGAAACAAGTATTTATAAAAATATAAACAAATTAAAAACTTGAACTTTATAAATACACGAACTGAAGTGCGGTTTATTCTGACTGACTATAATTTATTTAGACGGCATAATTAAAGTTAAAGTTGACAAACAATACAGAACTTCCTTTAAAAAATTATAATACAATTTTACAATTTGATTGTCATTTTCTGTATTTTCTTACGTTACAAGTTCACGTTTCCGGATGGGCCCGCCTGTTCAGCACTTCTTGCAGGGTATCGACTGATGAAATGATATATTATAATATTTTCTGGGTCAAATGCAAGGCCCAGTTTCATGGGCGACCCATCAATGGTCGACAATTTGAAGTTCAAGGTAGCCCATAAAACGGGCAACATTTAAAATTCGATCGGGATCGCCATGAGTTGGACATGCAAATGGAAATGGAAATTTGCCACGCCTGTTAAAAATTGTGTAGTTCGTATGCCGAAAAGACAAAAACTTTTTCCCACACCAATTGGCAATTGACTGGGCTAAACGAATAACTGGGCTATATCTGGTGCTCTGGTAGTGCGGGGCTCCCATTAGTACGGGGCGCAGTCGCATTTCATTTGGAATTCCATAAACGTTTCGGTTCAAACATAAAATAAATAAAAATCAGTACAATTCGAAGAGTTGTAGTCGTTGCCTTTGAGCTTTTGCGACAATCACTCACGTTGCCTGCCTGAATGCCTGGCCTGGCTGGCCTGGCCTGGCTCACCTGGCCTGGTCTGCCCGTGGCACAGCGGTTCCGTCTACGTCTCTGCCTCTGCCCCCCGTAGCCGGAGTCCGCTCGGTTAATGCCTCCTGCCTCAATCGGCAATGTCTTTGACGCTGTCGCTCGTTCGTTAAACGTTCTGCGTATTGAAATTAAATTTGTGTCGCTCGACACGATGACTTATTCAATTATTCGATAACACGTGATTGAATTATTGAAGTAACTCTTTGACTATTCGCCACTCGCGGCAGAGCCAAACTTCGTTTGTATCCTATAGAGCCAAGTCTTTGGCCTTTTGCACTCGATATGTTCACTTATAAATGTATTTTGTCAAAAATGTTATTTATATGAATTATTTCATAAAATCCTAGTCAGCCATGCTGCAAGTGTCATTTATCTTTACTTGAGCTGGATATGGGCAGTCGTTTCATTTCAGAAGTCAATTCGAGTTCAGTCGATTCGTTTCAAATTCAATAAAAAATAATAGAAGAGTTAGTTTTTGCTTCCGAAAATGGACAAAAATCCAAATAAACCATTTCGCGGCGTGCCAGTCAAGTCGTTTCTGAGCTCGAGCAGCTCGGAAGATGAAACCTCGGATGTGGAGCAGGAGAATGGCTCTCGTCGCAGTGGCATGCGATTCACTACCATTGAGGATTTCCTGGCCAGTCTGAACACCGCAACCACAGCCGTGTCCGCCCTGCAGGGTCTACAGACTCTCAGCGTGGAGAGCTACCAGAAGTCCATGCCGGGTGCCCAAGCCCAAGAGTCGTCCGGTGATACCGCACAGCAGCTAATGGCTGCCAACAAGGAGAATCAGGATAAAGAAATGAAAGAGGAAGATGGTTAGTAGCGAGACACGGCATTTGTTCCCCCAACTGGCCTCTATTAATGGAAACGTATTTACAGCTAAAGAGAAAGCAAAAAAAACATTCCAATAATTTAATATAATGGCAAACATGTAGCATCTGTTGGGTTAGAGGTTACCGAACAGCGCCAATTGCGATTCCAGATACTCAACAGCTTGTCTAGCTATACATATTTATAGACTCTTTACTGTTAAGAATCGTCTGTTAGACCTTCCATAAAACGAGGATCAGCAATATGCTGATCAAATAATAAAAGGGCATGGCAAAGCCTCCATATGCCAATTAACATATACGCTAAAAGAGTTGCACTGTTTTGAATGGTTAAGTGCTGCCCAATTGCCCATGTAATGCAGTGCTGCCACTTTTGCTAAGGGTATGAGATATGGAGAGAGAGAAGAAAATGTTATGGAAAAAGTTGTAGTGTTGCCTTTTTGCAAAGAAAAAGGAGAGGAAAGGTAGGGTTATTGCAATAGTCAGCGGAACTTTTAAAGTGCTGCCCAATCGGCACATTTTTATTGGTCAGCAAATATGGTGCTACCCATTCTGCCAAGGAAAAAGATGAAACTTAAAGCAAAAGAGATTCAGTACAGCTTCTTGCTAAGAGAAACGCACGAAAGAAATAGAAAGGTAAAAAAAGACGGTTATTTAAATAGTCGGCAATAAAGTGCTGCACATTTTTGTTATGCGGTGCTACCCAATCTGTTAAAATATGAAAAGCACAGAAGAGGGGAAAAAAGGGGAAATAAGAAGAGATAAGCATGGGTAAAGATATACAGGGATAGATTGGATACCTTAATGGTCCCTTAAAAGTAGGAAGTGCTGTTCGATTGGCACAAGCCCGATTGTAAGCCAGTGCTGCCCATTTGCTGGGCTATGCATCCGCCTTAAGTATGTGATTTTCCGTATTTTCAAAATCCAATCAGAAGTTGAGCAACATTCACTTTTCAAGCCAAAAGTTGAAAACTTTTTAATTTCCATATTCGAACTTGTAACTGTCAATTGCCAAGTTTGACAGCTCATTTTGCATAATTGTGCGGCGTTACGAGCCGCGCATACAAATTTATTATTGAACTGAATTTTTATGCTTTTATTTATGATTACCATTTACCACGGACCCCCGTCCAGAGTGGCTTGCCCCGCATTCAACCGACACCCGCCACCCAAGCGATTCGCTTCTGTGTGTCGGTCGTGTTCCATGGTGGGCCGGGCCGGGCGGGGCAGGGTGAGGCGGACTCTGGTTGGGTTGGGCGGCGTTTTAAGATCAAAAATGCTAATTGAGCTGTTTATCGATTTGTCAACAACAAAAGCAACAACAATCGAAATGACAGCCCACAAAAAACTCGAACAATGGCCACATTAACATTGTCGTGGATTGTTGCCGCAGTTGTTATTGTTTTTGTTGTTGCTGTTGCTGTTGTTCTTGTGTGTAACTTTTGGCGGCGATCCTGTTCCATTCAGCGCTCCCCTCGAACTTTTATTGACTATTAAAATTGTGTCAAAATGTGTTTGAAATTTTTTATTGTTAATTATTTGAGAAGCGCGCGTAATGGGGAACCAATCGAATATGCTGCCAACGCCAATGGCACACAATTTATCATGAAAAAAAAAAAAATACAACAATTGTGATACATTGATCAACAGTATAATGTTATTGTTTTAGTTACTGAGAGCTGCACGTTAGCTGTGAAAATTGACGAGCTTCTAGTTCAAATTAGATCGGGGTTAAGGCTTTTGCTGTTAAGTAGGGTACCATCGATCGCCCTATGGAGAGTATCGATTAAGATATGCCTCTGAATGAAACAAAGTTGATTTCTTCATCAGGAAGTTGTGATTTCTACTGAAATGATTATTGCGTAAATGATGTGCTTGTTTTGGGGAATTTGTATGAATTTCAGCTATTTATGAGCTCAAGATTTTTATAACCTTGTAGAGGGTGTTATAATGTCGTCATGAAATGTGTAACACATCGCCGACCCCGGACGGATCGGACTACTATATCAGGCAGCTGCCATAGGAACGGTCGGTAAAAAAGTTGGTTTTTCAAGATATTTTAACCAGATTCGGCATTAGTTCGCATACATGTGTAAAATATTCTCAACATCGGACCATTATATAATATAGCTGTCATTAGCTGCCAATTATGTTGCCAATATATGTGTCAAATCTTGTCAAGATCACACTACTATATCATATAGAACTAAAGGAAGAATTGGTAGAAATGTGAGTTTTTGTTTGTATTCTGCTTCCCAAGATAATTTCTTCAAACTCAGCAATTACAAACTTTAATATTCTCACATATCTAAGTATAAGGCTTCGATGTGCCGAAGATATACTAATCTTCTAGTTCGAATCAGGCAATCTTCTATTAGTACTAAGAACTAGGAAGTTAATTGAGAGTTTCAACAACTTCAACAACAATTTATGTGATCTCATCTATGCATTAGAATTGATATCAAATGAAATTCTGAGTTAAACATTTAATTATTTGAATACTAAGAATACTGAATGCGATCGACAACGAGCACAATTAATAGCTAAGCCCGAGCCCCGAGCCATGTTAATTCCACTCACACACTTCTAACCCGATTGGCAACCGCCCCACCTCGCCCCGCCTCCTGTGCAGCAGCAGCAGCAGCCGTCAAGAAGCAGCAAAGCGTGAAGGTAAAATGCCAAATGCCAAAATGAAATGAAATCAAAATCGAAAACTTTTAAATGAATAGACATGCAGATCGGACACGCCACAAGAATTCAACAAAAAAACCAAACCCCAGAAAAAATAAAACAGAGATTGCTCCAAGTAAGACGGGCAGGCAGCAGGCAGCAGCGGCAGCGTCGGCAGAATGGGGTACGGGGTGCGGGGTACGGGGTACGGGGAGGCCGCCTTAGCCAGTTGTGAGCCAAGTTTGAATAATGAGGCACTGGGGGTAAAAAACTGATTTACTACGTGGCCGGCCGGGTCCGGGGCCGGGGCAGGGGCCAGATCGCGAATGACTTTGAGGCGAGCTGACACACTGCGAGCGCGAGCAGCAGAACTCACTGACTGACATTTGATTATTGGCTTCCAATTTGTTGCAGATGTGTCTTGCGCGATGCTCCGCTCCGCTCCGCTCGGCTCTGCTTCTTACGTTTTTTTTTTGTGTTTTTTGCTTAGCGCAAATTGCGTGCCAGTCGCATTCGAAGCTGGAGCTGGGGCCGGGCTGCTGTTGAGGCCGCAATCACGGCGCGCAAATTTGCAAAATGTGGCCAACAACAACAACAACAACAACAACAACAGCAGCAGCCGCAACGAACAGAAGTCAAATTGTGGCCAACATGGAAATTAGTGGAGCTCGTCCATTTGGTTGCTGCCTGATCGAAGCAGCAGCAGCCGCAGCAGCCGTGATCTCGATATGGAACTTGTGGCGGCTGCAAATCGGCGGCAGGAAAGGAGTTATTAAAGTCAGACAGAGACAGCCAATGCTGCTAACTTTATAGAGAGAGAGAGAAAGAGAGAGAGAGAGATAGATAGATAGAGAGAGGGAGAGAAGGAGAGTAGAGACTGAGAGAGCGCCAGTGTCTTGGCTGTTTAATGAAGGCAGTTCGATCGATTTGGCTGGCTGCAAGTCGTGGCCGTGCCATGCCACCGCCTGTCAAGTCCGCAAGTCTCGACCAGTCCCCGGCACAATTTCAGTTGTTGTTGTTGTTACTGGCTGCTGCTGCTGCTGCTGCTGCTGTGGCAGCATTTTCGATCTGTCTGTCAGTCAGCTGCCATTTTTGCTTGGGCCACAGGTCCAAGTCCGCAGCCAACCAGCCCCAGGAACCAGGGGCCAAGCAGCCAACCAATTGATTGACATTGCCCACAACGCCCTTTTTATTTTGTATATTTCTTTCAGCTGACTGGGCGGGCCGCGGCCCATTGGCTGTGACTTTTGTGCGCAACTGTACCGGAAATGTGTAAAGCGCGCCATTCATGAGCTTCTTGTGAATTATGCTTGAACAACTACAAATTATACAACAATACTCGTAATTAATTAAGCCAAGCGCTAAAAGAGCCCAAAACCAGTCAACAGGCACTCAACCAGTTGCCAAGTTGCCAAGCTGCCAAGCTGCCCGGTTGCCCAGTTGCCCAGTTACCACTTCATTCAAGAAAAACAAAAACTGAACACTGAGAATGGCGACAAAAACACAGTTATCTCTGCTGGCTGACCAACAGGGGTACCAGGTGGTGGGGGGGGGGGGGGACTGGTGCCAGGGGGCAGCCATGTGCTTACCTCTGTACACATATGCGAGTGGCAATAACTGAAGACGGCCCCAAGACGACGACGAAAAAATAAGCCAAAAACAAAGACAAAGTCGTTGAGCGGTCAAAGCCGTGTAATTATGAAATTCAAAGAAATGAAGCATATTAAAAAATAATGTTATAGATATGTACACACACACACACACATGCGCGCGCGCATACATCATGCATGGTGTGTAAGTGTGTGTGTGCATTCGAGTGCTCATAACTAAATTAGCTGGTGCCCCATTGATGATGTCCAGCGACGAGCTGTTAGCTTTTATCAGTCGAGTATTTCGACTTTGTCATGAGATCTGCATACACTGGAAACAATTTGAAAAGTTGATTCTCTAACTTGATGATGTCCGTTTGGCTTGTGAACCAAAACTCTGCTTAAAGAATTGGTCTCTCGCTTTCATTTGATCGCCCAATAAAGATTGTTACCAGGTTTGGTCCCGTTTCACATCTACTCAGAAAGAGACGCCGAAGTTGAATACCCTTGTTGGCATATAGCTTAAATGTGTTTAAACACGAAAACTTTATCTTAGACCGATTCTTACTATATCATATAGCAATCCAAGTTTAGTTATAGGTAAAGGTAAAGGCAACAAGGCTTGAACAGAACCGGTTCGATCTCAGAATCATATTATATTTTCTGCTTATCACAAACCGCGACTTAAACTTAAGAACAGCTCAGCCGAAACCCGAACGAAACTATATTTATTTTCAAAAAACAAAATGAAAGACTTTTGAGTAGGACACAGCCCCAAAACTTTAAGGCCTCTTCCATTGCGTTTATCCTACCAAATTTGGCTAGACGATAGGCCTGGTTCATGAACCTAACATTAAGGAAGAATATCGGTTCAAACGAACCAGCTACAATTTATTGTCCGATAACATACATACAAAATTCACTTTTACGAGGGTTATAAAAATGTAAAGCTTCTATGAAATAGATTTTCTGTCAGTGTATTAGCTGAAGCGTTCAGTTTTCATTTTCCATAATGTTTCGTTTTCGTGTTTTATTTTTTT